TGTTTGGGGCAGCTTATAAGTGCGAGCGGCGTTTTCCGTACTGTTTGATTTGCGCGTTTCATCAGCTAATTCGAAAATACGTTTGAGTTTTTATACTAAATTCAGACCGCATGTCGACCCTTGCGGCTGGCCTACAGGTCGCGTTCAGGATAACCAGCTTATCCTGAAACACACGTGCTGAACTCAAAGATGCAAAATCAAAAGTTCAAAAACATATGTGAACAAAACGAGATCAAACAAGATTCCGAATATGTAAATTGATTTTAACTTACCCGGCGCTGAAGAGAAATCGGCCGAATGTAGCGAAGAAGAGACGGGCCCAGAGGCCGGGTTGAACGAAATAAACGACCTCCAGGCTGTCCTTAACGGCGGCAGGCAAAGATTCGTAGATCGATCGGATGAACAAAACGCGGGAAAGTTATCCGGTCGATTAAAGGACGTGTGCACGTACACGATGCAGAACGGCGCCTCTCCGATCTCAGGAAAGATCCTCCTCTCCAAATATTTCTTCAGCGCTTCCTTTCCTTCCGCACCCTTCAAAACCTTAGCTGCCAACCTCGGATCTCTCAATAAGAAATCTCACAAATCGAATAATGAAAACGATTCGATTAGAAATTAGGGATTTACCCGGGAAGAACTTGCCGATGATGCGGAGGATCTTGCGGCCGGGCTTCTCAGGGTGGTCTTGAACCTTGAATACCTCTAGTTTATCGAGAAGAAGGTCGTGCTCCGTCGATGGCAATGCGGAGTTCGTATTGCTGCTGCTCATTGCGGGGAACTTGTGGCTTGAACCTATGAATAATTTTTCGCGAGGAAGAAGGCGAGCGGGGCAGTGGGTTTATATAGGACCAAGAGCGGCGAGAGATCATATCCGCTACGGGCGTGCCAGATTTTAATTGAAAGCTTTACATACATACCTGTCAATTATTTCATATTTACATATCTTAAACATATATTTAACTTTTTGATAGATGCTGCCTTGCTTATAATGAAAATATTTATTTCATGTTTTAAATTAAAAGATTGATGCGGATATGTAAATATGTAGAAATTGGGTGGCGTGCATGTAAATGCCGCTTTTTGAATTTATTTTTCCATGTGGGGATTGAGAGAATATTCGGAAGCATCTTCCTTTTTGTTACGGGCAAGAAGACGGCGGGTATTCGACACGTGCCTTCGACACGTGCCGGTGGTAGAGTTGTACCGTTTGGGCTCGTACATGCTTCGATCCGCTGTAGATAGATGTAGAGGAATCGGGAATTCAACGAATAGCAATCGTTAACGGAGGAGTCCGTATATTTGTAATAACACGTGGCGGGATATTAGTTGTCAGTGGTCGTAAAATTTGTTTTACTTTTTGCGGGGAAAAGACGATACAAAAGATTAAAAGTGCGGTTCGGGGTGGGTTCATTGCCTTCCAATATGCGTGCAAACGGATGAGGCAGTGGGCCCCAAAAAGTTACCATCCAATAAAAATAAAAAAATAAGATAAAACTTTATTTCTTGTGAAAATTTCATTTAAAACAACTTACTAATGTAGCCTATTTTCAGAAAAGCCGAATGTTTGGGAGGCACACCTGAAATTGTGCTGATCTTGAATTCTAAAATGGTAGAAAAATAAGACAAAATATTACATACAGAAATACAGAAATACATATGATGTCAGATTTTCACACTTTATCAAATTTTATAAAAAAAAATTAAAATAGGGCCCACCGAAATACATCTTTGTTGTGATAAACAGTGGCGAAGAAGAGATGAAACAAACAAACACGAAGTTTCACGTTATTGTTTTCTTCAAAGTAGGGTTGTAAACGAGCTGAGCTTGAGCGAGCTCAGGCTTGGCTCGTGTTCGGCTCGTTCGAAATAGCTCGTGTTCGAAATCGGCTCGTGTTCGAAATCGGCTCGTGAACTGTGTGTTCGTGTTCGGCTTGATTTAAATATTCGTGTTCGTGTTCGGCTCGTTTTCGGCTCGAAATTGGCTCGTTAAACTAAAATTGAAAAAAATAGATGTAATGTGTGGGATTCGAACCTGAATCAAATCTATACAAAAGAAGACACTAACCATATTGCTACATGAGGCATTATGATTTAAATTTAGACATAAATATATATAATATATTATTATATAAATAATATATGTAATATATTGTTATATAAAAAATTATATATATATATTT